ACACACACACACACACACACACACACACACACACACACCCCAGTACCCTCCACACTCAAGGAAGCCCCAAAGCCACACGCAAACACCGGACCACCAGACCTCAAAATGAGACTGTGACACGGAAACCCACTGCTTTGGGTCCCGGCGCGGTGATCTCGCGTGTTTCCTACTGGAACGGCTCCACACGGTTGCGGCCATCTTTACAGACAGATCACCAGGCCTTGCTTCTGCAGTGCTCATGGGTGGGTTGAAACCTGCAGCCTTTCAGCTCCACCCCCATCCCCACCCCACCGATCCCCGCCATCAAGTTAATTCTGACTCATAGCCACCCTACAGGACAGAGTAGAACTGCCCCTGTGGGTTTCTGAGGCTGTCCATCTTGACAGGAACAGCCAGCCTCTTCTTTCCCTCCAGGGGTGACTGGCGGCTTTGAACTGCAGACCTTGAGGTTAGCAGCTCAGGGTGCACCCCACTTTGGGTTAGTCCTGAGTAAACCACACAAAACGAAAATGAAAACCTAACCACTGTTGCTGTCTGACCCTTTGGGACACAGTAGAATGGCCCCCAGGGGGGTTTCCCAAGGCTGTCACCTTTAAGAACCCATCTGCCCCACTGTTTTCCCCAGGGGCCGGTGGGCTCAAACCACAGACCTTTTGGTTCACAGCCAAAATCTAACCACGGCACCCGGGGGACAGACCCACAACCCCACACGGTTAGTCAGCCATATATGCACATGCACACTCAAGGGCAGGAGGGTTGGGGGATGAGGTCCGGCTACCTGCGACCCCCAGAATCAGGGCTGTGATGAGCGCACCAAGCATCCATATCCACAGGGGTCCCGCTTCAGCCATGGCCAGGGCACCTAGGGGGAGGGAGAGGCCCAGGGGATTGTGGGAGCCCTCAGCCCACCCACCCCCATCTCGCGGGGTGGGATGGGGAGGCACTCACTCCCCCAGGGAAGACAGAGAGCAAGATGGGAGGGACCACAGACAGGGGCACCCACTCCCCAGGGCCGCCAGCGGAGCCCCCGGGCCTCACCTGCCTGCGTTCCCCCTGGGTAAAGGGTGGGGAGCCCGCTCTCCGCTTGGCCTGCAGACCTCTCAGGCTTGCCCCGTCCTGCACCACTGTCGCCTCCTGGGTTCTGGGCACCCGGCCTGGGTTATAACCACCCACTGGTCCCTGGGGCACATTCCCAGGTGGTGAGTGCCCTGCCCCGCTCCAGCAATCCCTCCTCCTGCCTCCCCCCTACCTCCGCCCCCAGAGCACCCCCCACCCAGTGCCCAGAGAGGGCCACTCCCTACCTCCCCGGCTGGGTGGGGGGTGGGGGGTTGTATGTTCGTCGCGGAGGGGGTCTGCAGGCCTCAGAACCCCTGTTTCCCCGGCCAGCCGCCTCCAGCCTTGGGTCTCTGGCCTCTGAATACTTGGGGGTCTCTGTTTCCGCTCACTTCGACCTTGGCTCCTTGCTGGCTCTTCCTCGGCCTTGGCTTTGGCGGCCTCCCCAGTCCTCCCTCTCGGTTACCCTCAGATCCTTCCCCTCTCTACCCAGCGCCTCTTCTGGGCTGACTCTCCCTCCCTCTCTGGGCCTCTGTCCTCCTCTCTCTGGTCTCTGCCGCCCTCTCTCTGGGTCCCTGTCCCCCTTTCTCTCTGGTCTCTGTCCCTTTCCCCTCTCCTTCCGTCTTATCTGCTGTGTTTGCTGTGTCTCCAGGGCGGACTCTTTGTCTCTTTGCCCCCGCCCCCCCACTCCCAAAGGTCTGAGAGCTTTCTTTATTAAATACACCTCCAAATCCCCCAGCCTTACTTCCCTTTCTGCTTTACGATTTGCGGTGACATCTTTTTTTGGGGAATGTAAGAACTTTTTTTTTTAAATCATTTTATTGGGAATTCATACTTGCGGTGACATCTTTATCGCGTGGTAATCTAGGCACAGTGGCTGGCACATACGTAAAGGGCACCCTTGGGTGAGCTTTGGCATCCACGGGCATAGAGTCATGCCCGCCTGCCCACCCATCGCCAGAGAAGGAGCACAGCCACACTGGGGAGGGGAGGGGGTGCTGCCCACATTCATTGGTTCCTTTGCCACCTGCCTCTCCGTCGTCGTCGTTCTGTTCCTCTCCTCCTGCCTCGTCCACCACCCCCTTTCCTCTCAGTTTCGCTCCACGCTTCTGCGTTGTACCTTTCTCTTTCTGTCTCACGATCTCTCTCCATCTTTTCCTTTTGCATTTTCTTCACTCCCTCCTCCTCTTCCTTCTTTTCTTCTTCTTCTACTTTTTCTTCTTCTGCTACTACTATTACTACTTTTTCTTTTTCTTCTTCTACTACTACTCTGCTTCCCTGAGAGTAAGACATACCCGGAAAATAAGACCTACTTACGTTTTGCCTCTCGTGGAAATATAAGGCATCTCCCCCAAAATAAGACCTCCCCGAAAATAAGGCCTCCCGATAATAAGGGCCACAGAAGAGCTACCATAACTCTGGACTCTGGACCTTAGTGGTGGGCGCCGCCGCACAGCTCACTGTTGGCCGCAGCGCAGCCGGAGCAGACAGGAAGTGCAAGTAAATGTACCATCGATTATGAGTCAATGTACCGTAGATTGTTGTCCATGGAATTAGTGGTAGTAACAAGAAATTCTTGATACTGTAGCATTCACAGTTTGTCTGGTTATGCTTGTTTGTGATGGCAACTGCAACTGTATCGTATACAGTTAATGAATTTCCTTTTTTTGGTTCAACAATAAATGTGTACCGTATTCTTCTCCATGGAAAAATACGACATCCCCTGAAAACAAGACCTAGCGCATCTTTGGGGGCAAAAATTAATATAAGACAGTCTTATTTTCAGGGAAACAGGGTACTACTATTACTACTACTACTACTACTTCTTCTTCTTCTTCTCATGTCCTCCGCCTTCTTCTCACACTCCTTCTTTCTCTTTCTCTTCACCCTCCTCAGCCTCCTCATTCTCCTCCTCCTTTGCTTCCTTCTTCTCCCTTGCCTCCTCCTCCTCCTTGTCATTCTGTTGGTTTCTGGGTGTCTCTGTGTGCTTTTATCACACCTTCCTCTCTCCATGTCCACCCCCGCCCCCTTCTTTCTTTTCTTGGTCTCTTCCTCTCTGTCTCCTGCTCTCCCCCCACCCCCACTCCATCTCCATCCATCATGCCCGTCTATTCCCTTTCTTCTGTCCCCCTTCTCTCTCCCTCCCTCCTCTGCCTGCCTCTCTCTCCATCTCTGCTTCCCTTTCTCTCTCTCTCTCTCTTTCTGTTCCCCTCTCACTCATTTCCTGTCTCTCCCGCCTCCCCTTTCTCTCCTGTTTCCCTTGGCCTCTCCTTCCCTGCCCCTCTCTCATTCTGTATTTCTTCCTTCCTCCTTCCCCCTCTCTACGTTTCTGACTCTGAGTGTCTCTCCTAGCCTATCTGTCTCTGCCTCCCTCGCCCTCCCTTTGGCTACATGCCACTCTGCAGGTGGACCCCGCAGACCCCCTCTCGGGCCCTTCACCCAGGACCGCCTGGCTGGAAGGGTCCAGGGTCCAGGTTGGTCTTCCTCACCTGCACAGGTACTTCAGTCTGCCCGGCGGGGCCCAGCACCAGGCGTGGGTGAGAGATGGGCAGGACCATCTGTGGATGGGGAAAGAGGCCTACAGGCCAGAGAAGGGGGCGGGCAACTACTGGGAAATAGGGTGTTGGGTGGGGAGGTCATGGGTGGCTCCTGCCTCCTCAGTCACCAGCCATCAGGGCTGTGTTTTGCTGATGGCCTTTTGACTCCAAGTCTCTCTCTCTCTGATCTCTTCCCATCAGGCTCGAACTCCTTCTCCCTGTCCCATTCCCAGAGGATATAAGCATGCGACTTCCATTCAGTACCCACTGTGTCCCTGGTCCCCATTGACAACCACCGACAAAGCTGGCAGAGATGCCTCAAGGTGTTCTCCTTTGGGGACTCGCCTTTCTGTCTCTCGGGGAGGGACCTATCTCGCTGTCTTGCTCATCTCTCTCATTCAGCATCTGTAAAAAGGCAGGCTTTGGAGCCCTGTGCTTTTACGGCACAGGGAAAAAGCAGACGGACAGACACGTACACATAGCAACATCCCTTCCCAAGTTATTAAAAAACGAATGAACTTATTTAAATACATGAACTACACACGTGAGTCATGCAGCCATCATCCTATCGATTTCCAAAGTGAAACTCTGTCCATTAGGCAATAACTCCCCAATCTTCCCCCGACACTGCCCCCACCTCCCAAGACACACACACACACACACACACACACACACACACACACACACACACCATACTATGTGTGCGCCCAGTGTTGCAGATCACGTCTCCCTATGCGCTGCTTTTGTTGGAGGTTGTTGACATGATTCCAGCTCATCACCATCCAATGCAGAGCACAAGGAGACACCGCCCCACCCCGCCTGGAGCCAGCCTCACAATTGTTGCTTGAGCCCGTGGCTGCAACCACTGGGTCCATCCATCTCATCGAGGGTCTTCCTCTATTGCAGTAACCCTCGACTTGACCAAACAGCCTGCCCTTTCCCAGGGCCTGGTCTCTCCTGACAGCGTGTTCAAAGTACGTGAGACCAAGTCTCGCCATCCTGGCCTTTCGTTGGACTTCTTCTGAGAGAGATGTGTTTGTTCGTTGGGCAGTCCACGGTATTGTCCGTCGTCTTCTCCAGCACCACGTTCAAAGGCATCCAGTCTTCTCCGGTCTTCCTTATTCGATGCCCAACCATTTAGAACCGGCAAATGCATAGAAAGAATGCCAGTTAGAGATTAACAGGGGATTGTGTGTGTGTGCGTGTGTGCAAGTACATGTTTTCCCCGCATTTGGTTGACCCGTTCTTCTGCTGATGGACATCCGGGTGAATTCCGTCTTTTGGCGATGGCAAATGCTGCTGCTATAAGCCTTGATTATGGGAATTAACATGTCAGTGAATTGGGGGGGACCAGGTCCAAGGGTTGTGTCATTGAAGGGTAAAATTAAAGATAAAGCATGAGCGTGCTCACCTCTGGGACCATCATGACTTCAGCAGCCAGATCCATGCAGAGAGAGAGAATATATTTCCAACCAAGGCCTATATACCTCAAAGGGTATGCAAGCCCCTTTAATTACAGGTAACCATAAACATAACAAAGTGGGCTGTACCCTAACCCTAAGGGGCCCTGCCTCCATAGGGGGAGTAAGC